CTTACTTTTCCTCCGCGTCAACATACTCATCGACTTCGGAGGTCCGAGAATCCTTGCGTTCTACGGACTTTTTGCCCTCGCTCGAAGGTTGCGGAGCTTCTGAGGGTCCGGAGCCAGTGCCACTACCAGTATTCTTTACATCAACAGCGTCAGATGAGGACGGAGCCGTTTGCTCCTCTTGTTTTGGTACGTGGGGTGGAATCTGGAATTGGCTATTGTCTTTCTGGCCATCCAGGATGGGCGCGATGGACAGGATTTGTTTGACGGCGAGTTCGGGGTTTTGAGAATCACTGTAGTTCGCGGTCAACTTCCGATCGAAGGATAGAAGGATAAAGAAAGGCGCCTCCGTCACACTTACATATGTGCGCTGATGATCCAGTCCAAGTCCTCCTCACCCTCATCGGGACCTCCGGGGCCCCCGTGAACAGGGCGGAAGAGCCTTGGACGCCATTCCACTCCGTCGTCGGCCCGCTTAGCGGCCTCTTCACGTTGACGATCTTCAATCTTTGTCTTTTCGTCCGTTGCTGCCTCGTGGTTACGGGCAATGAGCGCCTTGACGGTGCTGTGCCACAACCGCTGTGATTCCCGCTCGCCCTGCTGTTCGATCGGCCGGGTGCTGGGTGGTGTATGTTTTGCGTGTGTTGCGTCGAACAGAACATCCTTCTTGTGAGTCTACAAATAGTCAGTATGTGGTTGTTCTAGGACACACTCGGGCAGCATACATGAACATCCTTGATGAACATCTCTCCGTTCCAAAGTCCATTCAGCTCATAGTATACCTCGCCCGTTTTCTCATTCTTGATCGTTCCTCCGATTGCATTGTAGGTGCCGGAAAAGTACCCCTTCGTCTTGAACTCGATATCGGCGACTAGATTGTTTTCGGGACAACGGACGTAGCTGTGATCACCGAGCTCATACTTCATCTTTCCAAAGAGGATGCCACGGGCGTACATATTCGGTTGCGTCAGGACGCTGAACACATTTCAATTAGTACCAGACTGAACAACGTCTATCGCTGCAGTTCATGAAAGTGGGATATGCGGCCACATACTATCGTTCGCCTTTCTCTGGATTCCGGCCGCGGTTCAGGAAGCGTAAAATGGCGATACCCTCCATCATACTTGCCGCCGAGTTTCCAAGGAACTTGCTGCGAGGCTTCAACGTCCCGTCAATTCGGATGTGGTGTTCTGGCGCCATGAAGAAGTAACTGGACTTAGGAGGGTGGTGAGAGGTCTGTTCGGCGATGTAATATCCTCGAGTGCCATCAGGGTAATCCCAATAACAAGTGAAGGTCTCTCCGAGAATCGGATTCAGCGGCTTCTTCACGCCTCTGCAGTATCCACGTTAGAAAGGATATCTCGTCTTCGGAGAACGGAATAGGAGCAAGTCGAGCGCACGTACGGAGGTTTAATGTGCCATCCGCTCAGGTAGAACTTGACGACGGAAACGAAGCGCTCGAGGGGGTCATCGATCGTGGGCATGGGAAGAAGGGTCTCCGGATGAGCCATGAAGCTTTTGATAGGGATCATGGTTAGCCAGAGCATCACGGCGAAGTTCGAGCATACTTACTTGGTGATCCGTTCCAACATGGAGCGAGGCTCCAGAATGAAGGTAGGCAGTACGACCCGACTCAGGTCTGCGCCTGGTCGGAGCTGGGAAATGATATGAGACAGCACTGAGCGAAGGAGTAAGCGTTTATATTACAGCCGAGAATAGAGCTTCCGGGGACGAGCTCCTTGTTGCAGCTGAACCTTATAATAATTACATACCATTGCCCTGTTCAGGCTCAACGACCTCATCTTCCCCGCTTCCAGCTTCCGGCTTTGATTCATCCATGGAGGAACGAGTACCTGAAGAAAGATGGAAAAACGAGCCCCAGTCAGCGGACATGATAGAATGAACTGACGGATTATTATGTAGAAGGCTAAGGATATATAGAAAAGAATAGATGGAAACAAAACTCGCGGTAATGATAAGGTAACCAAAGTATGGACGGAAAAATTAGGCGGAGAGAATGATTAGAGGGGAAGGTCGAGCAAGACGGGTATGACGTGTTGGAGAGAAGACAGCAACAACAACAACAGTCATACTAGCACGGAGTAGATATGTGGCAGTATGTACTCCGGAACTCTACTCACTGGAAGTGGCCAGAGATGAACGCCGGCGGATATGCGGAACAGTCACAGGCATTTCGTTTACTGTGATATAAGAAGCAGCAGCAGCAGTAATAAGTAGAATCAGATAGACAGAATGGTTATCGCGTAGGGAGAGGAGAGGAGAGAGTGTCGAGCAGAAGGAGAAAGTGAACGAGAAAAAGAGGTCTTCTTGAAAAGTCGCTTTGGGGAGTCTTTTTCTGATGTCTCTTTTCTTTCCTTCAGTTATGTAGATAGATAGATATTTATGAAACCAGTTGACAAGTCTCGTGGTTCCTTTGTGAGAGGAGGCTTGCGCAGTATCTACATCAGGATGAAGTTGGAAGAATGAAAGAAGAAAGAGAGAGGATTTTTATCGACGACTTTTTCTTGTTCTTTTTCTTTTTCTTTTTTTTTTTTTTTCCCCTCTTCGCTTGACGATTGTGGCATACTATTTTTTTTTCATTAACCACCTAATTTTAATCTAGTCAACAATAGTACTCTTCTTTTGCTCATAGTTTAGTTTATAATGTGGTGGAGCAGCCAGCAGGGAGTGACGTTGCCAATACAGAATCCCAGAGAAGGCTGAAGAGGTATCAGCGTTTCAATCCCCACTGTCCTACAAGAGTCCAAGATGTTTACCAACCATATTCAATGACAGTGGTAAGATGGCCTTGATCAATTTCTCCTATTTTTATCTACTGTTTATCGCCTAATGTCAGGATCTTATACCTATATTGTTTTTCAACCCCCTGTCACGCGCGTAATCGTATTTCTAGTTCTCACCGACTGATGACGAGGGGCAGACGCTTGGCAGGTGGGGTTTACTTAGGGAGCGTGTACGCCGTACTCGTATAGATACTCTTTGTGACCAATTGGTTAAGCCTAACACAATCTGTGTCTATATCCATCTATCTACCTAGTATCTGTAGTCTATGCCTAGCTGCCTACCAAGTATCTAAGTAAATTAGTCTCAGAGACCCTTCTTACCCCATTATCCCCGCCCTAACTATATGAAGCAAACCCAAGTCAAGAAATGCCATGGGCGATTAGATAGGCAAACCATATCTACCATAAGACCTCAGCTCAGCACCTTGCCGTCATTGGCACATCCCCTTGAGTAACCTCCTCGACGAATTCCATATCCGGGTGATAGAGCATGACATGAAAGTGTTCAACTGCGTGGACCGACTTGAGCGACTTCCAGTTCTTGAACCAAATGACCTGTACTTGTTTAGTACACTGAACCTCTCATCGCCAGTTAGGACAGCAAACCTGTTCAGCCGGCACCCGCGACCGAAACGTCCTTGTCACATAATCATCGATCTCCTTCCTCGCTTGAGGCGTCAAATCATCCGTGGCAGGATCATCTTCCAGCTCAAACTTGGTCCACACTACAAGATGCACAATGTCCTCCCCGACTCCATACGGCCAGTCATTGTACAAAATCCGAATGTCCTCTGCACGGAGTCATGTCAGAATGACCAGTACGCTCAACAATAGGGGCAAACGAACCATCGAACTCGAACGGCCGTCCCTTGGGCCTCAGATCATCCGCCTGCCCATCCCCCCAGCGGAGCCTTTCCTTGACCATGAATCGCATGATCGATCCATACTTGGCCACAATGTGCGCTTTGAATTCAAGATACCTTCTCAGTTCGCTCGGAACGCGCTGGAATAGATCTATCCGGTTACTTCCTGGTTATAACATGTCAGCAACGGGTTGCCGCACATTACTTCAATCCGGGCCCACTTACTAACAATCTCCTTTACCGTCTCCCAATCCTGCCTCTTGTACTCCGCATCTGGAGTCGACAGAATGGCAATGGACTTGGACGGCAAATCGCGCAGAAACGCAGGACATTCTGCCGGCCACTGTGACGGGGGAACATTGACAAGCCAGTACGGTAATTTCTCCGTCAAATTCCTGTTTAGAGTTAGGTGCGCAGTTGAGGCGCTGATGGTAGGTGATTCAAAATTCTCATTGACAGCTGTGAGCGTCGCTGCTGGTGTTGAGAGACTTGTATTTGTAGGCATTGCGTCGTTGGTCTGTATAAGCGAACCCCCTTCCGTAGTTGTGGTATACTTCGGTGAGTACCGCAGCGAACGAAATGAGATCTTCGCTTAGGCAACACTTAAACTACAGGATGGCAAGATGGGAAGAGCAATCAAAAATGACATGCTGTGTGGAGGAAGGAGAAGTCCTCCCAAACGGTGGGATGGGATTATGAACTCCTTGAGTTGAATGACCTTGATCAGCGCAAGGGACCGTTAACTGGCAAGGGGATCGACCCGTCAAAGGACCCGCAAGAGCACCCAGAATGTTCTTCTGTTGTTTGTATAGCCTTTGGCTTCTCGTCCAAGAGTAATACAATAAGGGTAGAATATTTGAGCTGGCTTCATTCTTTTCACTCTATCTCTCGATCCCTGGGGGCAGTCCAAGCCAAGAACAACATTGAATGCATGAGCCTAGGAGAATCTCAGTAGCATAATTCTCCACAGTGGAGCGGCGTCATTGTCAATCATTATTTCGCCCTAAGCAACCATGAAACAGCTTTCTGATATCACGTATCTTCCAACAAAGACGTGGATACCGATCGGTCTGAGCCATCTACCTTACCGTCAATAAATTATAGTCTCACGAAACTGCGCTCACAGCAGACTTCGCACCATGAGCATCTGGTAGAATCCTCCACGCATGCCTCGGAACCAGGGAATCATATAAGCAGAGTATTACTCATGTCCTAATGCTGGGCTCTATGGGCCGCCATCGTCTGACGCCTTGACAGGTCTAGCCCAATTCCGATTCCAAAGTCTATCATAATGTCAATGAGCTTGAATACTAAGTACCATGTACGGAAACGGCGACTAAGACGCAGTGAGAGCCGCAATCTCAGGGCCATCCGATCGAATGATTGTTACTCCCGCTGCTTCACACTCTCGCTTGGCCTCCTCCCATCCTGCATCAGGATCAACGCTTCTGGTCGCATCCTCGACAAGATAGCTTTTGAATCCTCCCCTCGCGGCATCCATAGCCGTGTATTTGACACAATAGTCACCAGCGATCCCGACTGAAAACACATGTGTGATGCCTCTTTCTGTCAGCACTGCTTTGAGATCAACGTCCACGGACTGAGCATGAACGGCTGGGTCAAGGTTGCCAAACGCATCAGAGAAGGCAGAGTACATCTCCACGCGCGGATCCATTCCCTTCTTCACGAGCAGGTCAATCTTACTGCTGTCAATCTCAGGGATGATAGAGGCCCCCTTGGTCCCTGCAACACAATGAACGGGCCATAGCCTTTGCTCCTTGATCTCATTTCCCTTCCCAGGCGCCGGATTGGTCATCTGGAAGACGGACTCAAAGGGGCGATTGTTAGGCTCGGGATGATTGCTCGCAAAGGATACATGATTTGGGGGGTGATAGTCTTGCGAGGCTACGCGTATCAGGAAGCCTGGGTTGGCGAGCAAGGTATTGATGAGTGGTGCAATGGAGCGAGCCCCTTGTACCGCGAGTGATCCATCCTGTTGTTATGAGCTTCTTTCCACTAACAGGAAGAGTAAGCTGTGCTGACCGGTGGGCAGAAATCCTCCTGCATATCTACCACTAGTAATGCTGCATTCATCATGAGTTGGGTGTGACGGCTTCCCTGGGTTAAGAGCTTATCAAAACTAGATTGTATTGCCCGTCCAGAAGTAATGGCCGACCCTATACCGACACGAAGTATGCGCGATTTCCTTTTATTCTAGGTTTGTCTGAGTTATGGGTAGCCTTCTTGTCACACTCTCCAATCAGATAGTTATCTGCGCAGTCTGAAGACAATGCAAGCATCGAGCAGCCTGGGAAGACACATTGTCATAGGATGGCACTGGTTAGACTGGTAGACCGACATGACGGGACAACACACCACACACCCTATCATAGTCACGTGATTCAGAGGAACCGAGAGAGCTTAGCGCAGGCTTGCAAGGGCTGACAATATCCACGTCAAGCCTAAATCCATAATGGTGTCAGCTTTAATTTTGGCAGTTATCTATCAAGACCTGTCAGGCACTTCTTCAGCAGCTCTGATCACGCATCTCATCGTCAATCCTCCGTCAGTTCCACAAAGGGTTAGCGCAGGCACCTGCTGACTCAGCATAGCACCAAAAGCTTCGCGTGGTGCAAAAACACACGCAAGATTCTTCACTTCTGTCATCAGGGCTGCGGCCCTTCATCCATCTGTCGAGATCATACAGTTGACAACAGTACATCAGGCTCATTTCAAGACGCAGATAATGAGAGGCATTCTCAAGGTATGTACCACGAAGTATCAATCTCTATCAACCCATGCTGTGCCATCACATGATGATCTCTTTTTATTGGAGCTGTCCTAGCTACACAATGCGGACAACCTTTTTATACGCATAATTAATTTCTGATAATCTTCACTTGGTTTCCTTTGGTCACTACTCTTGCCAAGCATTCACCATTCAGTCTTGCTAATTGAAAGCAGCTCTTACAAGGAACAAGTGAACACACCTTCCAGCCTCCTTGATTTTGGTCTCGCAAAGTCGATTCCCGAGTCGGCACCTCCATTCCTCCTAAGAATAACATACCACACTTGGTGATATTTGATTACATCGCCGCTCAACATGGCTCATGACCCTCGACTATCCAGTGCGGGCACTGCCACTCCCAATCCGCCTCCTCCGCCCCCTCCTCCGCCCCCAGAGACCTCTATGACAGGCACAGGCGAGGCCCAGGCCGCAGAAGCAGCTGCCCCCGCACCGTCGTCAGACTCATTCAAGCTGAAGTTCTGCACAGTATGTGCATCGAACCAAAACCGTTCGATGGAAGCCCATCTCCGCCTCTCCACGGCGCCCTCTCCCTTTCCCGTTATTTCATTCGGAACAGGTTCTCTGGTCCGTCTTCCAGGACCATCCATCACTCAACCCAATGTCTACAACTTCAACACCACCTCGTACTCGCAAATGTATGACGAGCTCCTCGCCAAGGACGAAAGACTCTACCGTAATAATGGCCTTCTGAACATGCTTGACCGCAACCGGAATTTGAAATGGGGCCCGGAGCGTTTCCAGGACTGGGTTCCCGGGATGCCGCGTGTGGACCACGTGTCGAAAGGCGACAAGGGTGCTCTGGGCACCGAAGGAGGCACGGTCGACGTCATCATCACCTGCGAGGAGCGGTGCTGGGATGCCGTCGTAGACGATCTCATGAATAAGGGCGCGTCCCTCAACCGACCAGTCCACGTATTCAATGTCGATATCAGAGATAACCATGAGGAAGCCCTGGTAGGAGGAAAGGCCATCCTCGAATTAGCCACGCGACTGAACGATGCGGCGACCCAGGAACGTAAGATTCATGGTGCCGAGGGCTGGGAAAACGGTAACGGCGACGCCCGTAGGAGCTTCGACGAACGTGTACCCGAGATTCTGGCTTCGTGGCAGGAGAAATGGCCTAATTTGCCGGCTTTGTGGACTCTGGCCTGGCTATAGTAACGAGATCGATAGCGCTTACTTGCATAACGATAATCCGTGAATTAATATCAATTTCCTTTGCATATTGCGCAGTCAGTGTCTTCTTGTAGCTATTGACGTACAAACATCACCAGACTGTCGAATAAACGCTGTTTTGTAAATCAAACTCCAAGTAAACAAAAGGGTATCTCTTGAAACAAAAAGCCCAACCAGATCGAACGCCCGTTTTCCGAATCCATAATATCATCTCTGACCTAAGAGTACCTCTCGTCGCTCGGTATACCACCGCTCCAAACACGCCCGTCTCTGAGCCTGCGTCATACCCTCCACCACAAGCGCGAACTCAGTGGCACTAGTGAACCCGAACCGCTTCGCCATACTACAAAACTGACGTTTCATCACCTCTCGTGGCGGGTGGAACCTGTACCGGATGGGCCGGCCATCCTTGTCGAGAATAGCATCCGGCCCGGTCCTGTCTTGCGAGGACCCGAAGACCTGTATGTCGCCGAGTTTTTCATCGGCTAGCTCGGCACGCCGACTGAGGCGCTCTTCCACCTTGGACGACCCGATGACCTCGTTGTTCAAATGTGTGTATTCAACGCCTGCGCCGGCGAGGATGGCCTGGATGGGATCGTGTTTCTGCGCGGTCACAGCGGCCTGGGCCTGGGGCGCGGCGTCGTCGGTGTCGCCGCGGATCATGGCGGCTAACTGGCTCATGACCTGGTCGTCTTGATTCTTTGTTTCGGAGCTGGTGTCAAGCGTGGTGGTTGCTGTGTCGATTTCGTCGACGTCGATGTCCATGACTCGGACGCCGGCCTTGCTCTCGGCGACATTGGTCTTGTTGACAATGTCCCTGAGGACGATGTTGTTGGTTTTGAACTCGAACAGATTGTCAAGCCCAAAAATCTCGCCCTTCCGGTCTTTTTTCTCCTGCACTCCTTTGAAGTATCTTCGTTCGGAGCTCGCGTTATAGCCGATGTTGGCCTGCTGTTGCTTGTATATCTGACGCGCGTAGACGATTTCCTCGATCGTGCCGGCGGAGATCAGGCGGAAGACCTCGACGTTGCGAGACTGACCGATTCGGTACGCTCGGTCTTGGGCCTGTAAGTCGTGCGAAGGGTTCCAGTTCGGGTCAACGACAACGACTTTATTCGCCGAGGTGATGTTCAGGCCAACGCCTCCAGACCGGGTCGAGATTAGAAAGACAAACTGCTTTGGGTCGGCATTGAACTCGTCGACAACTTTTGTCCGCTCCTCATAACTCATGGAGCCATCCAGGTAGCTCACATTGTAGCTAGTGTAATGAAAGAGCATCTGCAGCATCTTGAGAAGACGGACGCTGTGCGAAAACACCAGCACCTTGTCACCGTTCGCATGCCACCATTTCAGAAGCTTGCGGAGAACCTTCCATTTCCCGCAGAATTCGGGGTTGGCATAGTTGACAATGGAGTCTCGGGTCCGATAGAGTTGCTCCCACTGGTCGGGCACGGCAATCTCCAGCATCTCTTTATCCTTCTCTTGCTTCTCCAAGGAGTCTGCCCCTTGCGGTATGAGTGTTGCAAGGTGGTTGCTGAGCTTCTGGAGTATGGCTATAGCGGGGAATACATAGTTCTGCCATCTGCCTCCGGAGGGCAGAAACTGCCGGCAGCACCAGCCTGCTTTCTTTCCTGAGCCACAGTCACACTTGTCGGAGGATGTCTTGATGTACTGAACAATGTCGCTGTCGAGGATGTTTTCGTAAGCACTTGCCTGCGTCTCGGTGAGCGGACAGAAAACGACCCGGTCGCTCTTCTTCGGAAGTTGATCGGCTATCAGTGTCTTCATGCGCCGTAGGAAAAACTGAGGTAGGAGATTTTCGACCAGCTTCTTCGCCGTCTTGCGCGCTTTGCTGAGTTGGTACAGAGTGGCATCGTGTGACTGCCCGATTTTCAAGGGCTCTGAGATAGTACGTCTCCAGGTCGTAACCGGACCAAGTTTTCCTGGATTTGCCCAATTGAGGAGCGTCCACAATTCTTCGTACTTGTTCTGAATGGCAGTCCCCGTCAGCCCGATTCTGCAAAGTGCATTGACTACGTTCATCGCTTTTGTTGTCTCCGAGCTGCGTTCCTTAATGATGTGGCACTCGTCCGCCACAACGCAGTCCCATTCGACCATGTTCACAGCATCCTTATTGTGCAGATATGTGCCATAAGTTGTAATGAGAATTTCCAAGCGACCTGACCTTGCGGCCTGCAGCGCGAGCTCCTTGTTGTCCCCATGATATGTATCAACATGCCACCAGCCCCAACGGTTGAATTCCGAAATCCAGTTTTGAATCAAGGTTCCTGGACAGACAATCAAGGTGCGCGGATACCATCCGTTCCGGCCACTTCGCCTCATCTTCCTCATCCTTTTGGCGTCTCGTTCGTCACCAGTCTTCCCGTATGCAGCAGTGAGGAATGTAATCACTTGCACCGTCTTTCCCAGACCCATGTCGTCACCCAGAATTCCCCCTTTCTGATAAACAAAAAGCTCATGGAGAAAAGCGGCACCTTCGACTTGATAGGGCCGCAACCATTGGGCAATGGGGGCTGGGATTAACCCGAGCGAGTATGGAAGGGTTATATCCTCGTACTTCCCGCAAGGTTCTATATTCCTAAATGCAGGTCTCTCCTTGAGAAACTCCAACCGTTCATCGTCCGAGAATTCCACGTCATCGAAATCTGGTGGAAGCTTCAACCCGGACTCCTTCAGATGGTCCATCCGCCGGTCGAACTGGGTTCGACGCTTCTGCAGATAATCCGGAAGCGTATACTCCATGAGCTCATCGTCCGAGGGAAAGTCTTCCCCATATGTCCTCAGAACGGGTCGCGTACGAGTGGATTTCTCGTCCTCTTTCTTCGGCCTTTTGCCGACAAACGAGTCAGGATTCGCCACTTTGGTATTCTTAGACTTGCGAAGATTGGCACTGCTACGCTTTCGCTTGATAGCTTTCCTCTCTTTGAACTGCTTATACGCTGCTTCGCCATCGTTGAAGGAGTCGTCGCCACTGTCGGTATCGGCTATGTCAACGACGGAGGTATCGCGGTTGGAAGGGGACGACAACCGCTTGATCTTGAGCCGCTCATGATCGGAGGCGGACTGAGGTGGTTCCGGATCTGATTTGAGTACTCGGTCTCTATCTAAACACAAATTCCTCAGATTAGCTTGTAGCTGAAGCGTACGTGCGGAGAAACATACAGCGAGGAGGTATTGACGGCTTGGGGGAATGAGCGCCATCGAGATCGTCATCTTCCGTATCGTCAACAGTTGATACGTCGGTGTCTTGTAGCTCCCAATCTCCGCCCATGCTGAAGGACAAGGAGGGGCAGGAAATCTGTCTCCTGACACGCGGAGGAAGTGCTGGTGAGAATGCGGAGTGCGGATACTTATCAGGTGGATTTCCCGACTGGGAAAAGAGCTGTTGGCCGCAAACTGAATTTGTCCGCTCCCACTTCAACCTCCGCCGTTTGTCACATTCGTCTTGCCCGCGCAATTCCTCGTACCTCATTTGGGATTGGGATAATCCTGAATCGAATTTCATCTGCTTTGCAAGCGCTTCCTCTTCATTGTTACTTAACACCTGTCTGTCGTCCCTGACGTGTTGGGAAAAATCCTCGAGACCAGCATTAAAGCGAACGGTTGCGAAACCGGTGGATGAGGGCACAGAAATTGATCTGCAATAACGATAACTTGAAGGACTCAAAATGCCTCTCGATACCTCTACGACGTATCCTCTTACGAAGCTGCGCCTTGATGGACGCCGCTGGAACGAGCTCCGTCTTCTTCAAGCCCAGATTTCTACCAACCCCGCCAGTTCAGGGTCATCCTTTTTGTCCATGGGAAATACATCGATAATGTGCTCTGTTCATGGTCCCGCGGAGGGAAAGAGGGGGGACGCGACAGGAGGTGCTGCAGGATCGGCCGGAGCTGTGGTCGAGGTCGATGTCAACGTTGCGGGGTTTGCAGGCGTTGATCGCAGGAGGAGGGCTGGGGGCAGCGACAGGTATGAGACCTTATTGCTACGCTTCGTCTCTTTCGCTACGTTCTAACATGTCCCGATATAGGCAATCTTCGCGAATTGCTACGATCCTGCGATCGGCCTTCCAATCCCACCTCCACACCCACCTCTATCCACACAGTACGATTAGCATTCACGTGTCAGTCCTGTCGGCTGACGGGTCTCTCCTGGCCGCAGCGGTCAATGCGTGCACCCTGGCCCTTGTCGACGCCGGTATTCCCATGCCGGGCCTGCTTTCTGCCTGTACCTCTGGCATGAGCGGCAGCGCCTCTACGCCACGTGATCCTCGGAATGACTTCCTGGATCCCCTTCTAGATCTGTCACTGCCTGAAGAACAAGAGCTTCCTTTCCTGACGGTTGGGACCACAACAGCTATTCCTGTTGGAGAGGACGCTATGGACGAGGACGACGAAGATATGAAGGTCTCCATGATGGTGATGGACTCGAAAGTCCATTGCACTTATCTCGAGACAATGCTTGCCGTCGGAATTGACGGATGCAAGCAAATCCGGGAGATCTTGGAGGGGGTCATCAAAGGGACGAACCGGGGAGTATGATATTTACTTGACATCATGTGTCTCGATTCTTTTATACCCTGCATGTATACTCTATGGGAGTTGGGCGTCGCGGTTATGCTGATAGATGGGGTGATTGTACCTTGGAGTGGTTCATATTTTATTTTTCTACCATACCATTTCTTTTACACATTGATAAAACCCTATAAGGCCAAGCTCGTATTTTCATAAGCAGAGACCCAGTTCCTTAGCACAGATTCTAAGAATGTTCTGGGGGCCAAAGAAGCCAAGCGGCCGAAATGTGCTCAATTCCACTCGCAGCCAAACCCTAATTGGTTTGGACTGCAGCCAAGTACTTCCTAGCAAACAGCAGACTGAGGCCTTTCGAGCACAAATTATGCAACAGAGAGCAGAATACTTGAGTTGATATCCACCCAATGACTATCAGAATCATGCGATCGAGCCACAGAAGAGCAGCAGAAACGCCGGGGAGCAGCTCATTTGTTCCCTGATGGGCCTGTCTAGTTGTACGACTTCACTGTCTCCCAAGGTGTCACAGCTTGCTATCTCTATGTAGATAACCGTCGTGTCTCCTCTTTCTTATCTCTTTCCTCTATTACTCTGCTCTCCTCTTCTCTCCCATTCTGTATTCCACATTTCCTCCTTGTCCCTGTCCGCCAGGTTAGGGATTGACGGACTCGCTAACTCAAGTGCATCTCACCGGAAATCCCTGAACTTTCACATGTACAATCGTCTATCCCACCGGTAGAATGGATCATATGCACCACGATATGGACTCCATGGTGGCCATGTCCGCAACCTCGACTGCCAGCGCGGCCATGAGCACCGGCAGCTCTCATAGCATGGGTGGCATGGACGGCATGCACTCGTCTTCCTGCAAGATCTCGGTATGCAGACTCGGAGCACAGCACCGACGACAATATCAAACAATAACCACCGGCTGACCTCCCCGACCGTCTAGATGTTGTGGAACTGGTACACCATCGATGCCTGTAAGCTTTTTGACTCTATCTCTCTCTCTCTCTCTCTCTCTCTCTTTTCTCCTCCACGATGCTAACGCCAACATCTCCAGGCTTCCTCTCCAGTCAATGGCATGTCACTTCCCGCGGCATGTTCGCCGGCTCCTGCATCGGCGTCATCTGCCTCGTCATCTGCCTCGAGTTCCTCCGCCGCGTCGGCCGCGAGTACGACGCCTTCATCGTCCACCGCGCCCGCCTGAGAAAACAGTACCTCTCCACAACCGCCTCGTCTCAAGGCCTGACACGCGCCACCGACGCCGACGCCAGCGCCCAGGGCTCTCCCAAAACTGTCCCTGGCGCCGAAGGCGCAGCGCAGACGATCTGCAGCGCGTTCGAGGACCAGACGCCTATCCGCCCCACGCTGATCGAGCAGCTGGTGCGCGCCCTGCTGCATATGCTCCAGTTCGCGGTGGCGTACTTTGTCATGTTGCTGGCCATGTACTTCAACGGGTACCTCATTATCTGTATCTTCATCGGGGCGTTCCTGGGTTCCTTTATCTTCTCCTGGGAGCCCTTGAATCTGCAGAAGGAGTATGTCGTTCTCCTCCCCTTACCTTCGTCGGATGATATGCAAAGGGCTCGATCTGACCTGTGTCCTTGTTTTAGGAATGATGCTACAACAGTCACCAAATGCTGCGGATAGATCTGCTCGTTGATCCGGCCTGCAAGTCGTGGAGTCGCTCTCGATTCAAGCGTTCCGCTTCCCCCCTCTCAGATCCACGAAAAGAGAAGATACCTCACGGTGTTGGTAATATGAGATCAATGATAACAATCGAATATAACACAAAAGTTCACCATCTAGCTTCATCGTCAGTTTCGTAGTCGTTGTATTGACGTAAGGTTAAGATATGGCTGAATGAATTGATCTTCACATCTGGGTCAAACAATTTATACCTGCATTCCAATCAAAGTCTGATGCTCGACCCCCTTCAGCTCTATATTCTTAAGGCCGGCTTCCTAAAAGCTCTTGAACCAGACACGGCGTGTAGATCGTATGGCACAGCAGGGGCTTAGTTACGAGGGCAGACCGTAAAGATTACAGGCGATCAGAAACGGAACCGATTAGAAGCAATTGGCCCGCACAGATTAAAAGTGGACAGAGACATGCTTGGCTAATAATTCGGGAACAGTTCTAGATTACACCACGCAAGAAAAGAGACGTCGGAACTCCCAAGGCTAGATCGGAAAACAGAGAGCCACAGGCTTCATCTTTTGAGTCGTCAGAACCGAGAGGCTTCCATTTGATCGAAACCATTATCTTCCCCTTTTCATTGCTTACAGCTCACCACAGTCGACGATCTTGGGACGAGTGTTGGAACGGACAGAACCGCTCTTGCTTCCGAGAGCCTCGATCTCCTTGACGATGCTGTATGAATCCTTGTCCGCAACTTCACCAAAGACGACGTGCTTGCCGTCGAGCCAGGAAGTCACAGCCGTGGTGATGAAGAACTGAGAGCCGTTGCTACAAGGCGATCAGTACAACTCCATGTACCTCTAAAGACATGAAAGAATCGCAGGATATAACTTACGTGTTAGGACCAGCGTTGGCCATAGAGAGGACACCCTCCTTGTCGTGCTTGCGGATGAAGTTCTCATCGGCAAACTTCTCGCCGTAGATAGAGCGACCACCAGTGCCCTGAGCGCAAAGGGTTGTACATATTAGCCCTCATGTCCTATTCAGGGTAAGGTGAGGGCCTGGGCCCCAAAAAAAAGCAATATGGGGGTAACGGGTCCGGCGAGGGTGGTGTCGCGTATGACGAGAACTCACATTGTGACGGGTGAAGTCACCACCCTGGAGCATGAAGTTGGGAATGATGCGGTGGAAGGTAGATTCCTTGTAGCCTTCGCCAGCAGGTTTCTTGCAGAGCTCACGGAAGTTCTTGGCGGTCTTCGGGACATCCTTATCGTAGAGGTTGAAGACAATACGGCCAACCTTGGCTGTCAAGGCACGAAGCAGAATACCGTCAGTAAAAAGATTCGAAAGCATTGATCGAAGTCGGATTCAATACTGCCCGCTTTGAGCACAGTTCCGCGCTGATGCTGAAAAGCGGAAGGATGGAGGGGTAACCCAATTGTACCCCGGGCCCGGAAGCAAGTAGAATAAAGATAGGGAGGGCGTGGAATAACTTACGGGCAGCGCCGATAGGGGTGTACTCAACGTCGAAGAAGACCTGCGACATGGCGGAGGGGGTTTGATGGAATCTGCGAAGAGACAGGAAGGAGGACTGATTGCAATTGACAACGGAGGAGAGGAGGGGACGAGAAGAGAAGGACGAGCAAGGTGGGGTTATTGTTGACCTCAGGCTACGGGAGAACATTGTTGCTTGTCGATGCTGGAACTAAAAGGAGGGGCAGAAGCGGGTCAATACGGCGGCCGAACGGAGGGGGCAGTCACGGGACTGAAGGGTACAGTGAAAAACATCGCGTCAGCCGAAAAGAGCCATGTGTGTAAGTTTAGGTAAGCCGTCATGAATGTTGCTGGCCTCAGGCTTCCACCTGGTTGGCCGCCTGGCTGGATATAGCAAGCTCACAGCAACAGGCACAGTTTTAGGGATGAGCCATCCTTAGTAGGGCATCAAGACAACAGCAAATCCATCCAATAGAAGCAATTGGGAACACATGACAATGTCCAGTCACCAGAGAAACAGAGAGGTACTGCTCACCTTGAATTGATATTGACGCAGATGAATGCTGCGAACAGTGACGTGCTGTATGGAAGCAGTCGAACTAGACGTGAAGACGGAAGCAGGGGAGAAAAACTAGAGCAGAATCCCAAAATAGTATGGTGCCGAAATTAATGATTATATAATGATACAGTGGAGGGACAATGCTTCGAGAACTTGTTGGAACCGTAGGAACAAGGGAGGAGAAAAAACGAGATACGGAGTACGGCGGATTCGATCTCCATCCTAGATGATCACGTGACTAAGGATCAAACGAGATGGCTTTAGGGATGTAAACTAAAGGAAAGGTAGGGATAAAAGTATTCTGGCGAACCAGCCCAGTGTCTCGAATTGACCTCTGTCTGAGTAGATTGTTATATAGTACCAATAAAGTGAAAATTAAATTCAAAGTCCGTGCTTCCAATGCGATAAATATTGTCAATATGCGAATTGGTAGTAGTAACGAAGGGGATAATAAGCAGGATCAAAAGCAGAATTGCCCTGGCAAACTGCAAGCAAGAAGAAAAGACACCACCGCTTGCGACTCGAAGATCATAAAGGTCAAAACGCTAATCGTCGCGAGGGACGAAAATGGAGCAGAAGCGGTGTACAAGAATGATAGCCAGAAACTAAATCACATAAGAATACACAAAGTTGAAATTAAGGTTAGATCTAAGAAGAATGGTGAAAGGAAAAGGTCATGAAGCTCCACTAAAGAACACTCCGTTTCACATGGCCGCTCATTGTCATGCGTAATAGCTGTAGAATCAATCGGAAATTTGGCAGTCTGTGGACGCTCCTGCGCACCCAAATCAGAGTTTCCGGTAAAGGTACCAGTCCTGCCTTTTCAGAAGAATAAAAGATAGAGAATCATAGAAGAAAGTCAAGGTAGATGAAGAAGGATCAAGCTTGTCGATAAACGGTCGAGGAACTGAGGAAATTCGTTACCGATTGCTACCGGAAGTCGTCTTCGGAATCGTTATCATCCGTAAGGTCAAGTCGATGCACAAGTTCCTTTGTTTCTCTGGCGATTTCGAACGCAATGGGTGGAAGTTTCTTGATAACCTCTCGGTGCTCCGCAATGTTTATGGCATCCTCGCCCTCGGCTGTTGTTTCTAAGAGACGAGTCCGATGCAGGTTTAGCGTCTGAAGTATGGGACCAGAGCGTTCCCGAAGGACGAGGCCAGCATTGGATTTATTGATGAAATGTTCTGTGGATGAGGAGACATTGGAAACAATGGAAGAAATGGCCGAAACGTGGGTGCTGATCGTCGTCAAAACATCGTCCGCACGAACGCTGGCGACGAGTGCCTGAATGGATTGGACCAGCCCATCTGTCTGGTCCTCGATGTACAGCTACAGAGTTGATTAGTTTTCAACCGGGAAAGACAGGATACAGTAGAGTCTACTCACCTTCAATTCCTGAAGCTCGTGATCTTCCGATCCCAGCTGTGAGCCCGTCAAGACACCATTCTGAAATCCCACATCCAATTGAGAATGTGTTCCATTTGGAGTATGATTAGAAGGGTCGCTCATAGCACTATAGATCGAGTCGTTATTGCTCATTCTGCTCTGGCTCGGAGCAACGCTAAAATAGTCGGGAGACTTCATCTGCGAAAATTGATCTCGCTCTTCTTCGTTTTCGTTGAGCTCATCCTCTGGAGTGGGGCGGATTTTCACGAGGCGAACGAGTTCAATAACTGCAGTCGACAGGTGCGATGCCGCAGCATCGAGGAGCGAGACGGGTGAAAGACCATTCGAACGGACGAAATTCTTGGCCGCGGTGATCATGTTATTGGCTGTCGCAGACACTTTCCGTGTAGCTTTTGTACGCATAGCTACCAATCCGTCGGCAGGGTTTTGCGTTGATTCAATGTCATTAAGGACATGACGGACTGCGAGAATTACCCCCTTAACCTGGTCCATCACGAGCTGGTATTCGTCGGATCGTGCGACGCGAAGCAACTCGTCAATGGAAATTTGGAACTTGGTTACATGTATATCCTTGACCAATCCATCATCGTGCATGAAACCGTTACCTTGACTTACTGTGCTGAGGCCGGGACGACTTTCTGAAATGCCGGATGATGCTCGAAGATGCCGTAGCTGAGTCTTAGCTTTGGCGTACCGGGTCTTCCATAGCTGTAATTCTTCTTCCAGTCGTTGAACCTCGCCTGACAATCGCTCTTCGTGCTCCCAGCGGGACTGGGTTTGCTCCGACAGAGCCTTCATCTCCATCAAAAAGGTGGCGGCTTCTCGTCTGACTTCCTCGGTCACATGTTGTTGCTCCCGTAACTCAGCCTGCAGGTCCCGATGCTTGATCTCCAGCTCAGAAAAGCGAGCTTGTAAACCGGCGTCCCCAGCACTCTGCCGCGATGCCTCGTTGAGTTGATTTCGCAGATCTCTCTCCGTGTCATCATGCTCGGTCCGCATCTTTTCGAGTTCGAGCTGAAGAGAGGCGTTCAATTCTTCCGCCTGGGATATTTTACTTTCGAGTTCCATCTTGAGGGCATCCCACTCTTGCTTTGCTGCTCCAGTCGCCTGCTGTTCGTGTTACTAAGACACCAGTGTGAAATCCAACATGTCAGCTAGGGCGTCGCGTACCTGAGATCTTTGATGCTCTTCTTGGAACCTCGCCAGCTCCTCATCCTTTGACCTGATCAATTCCTCAAGTTTGTCCACCTTATCTTGCTCCTTTTGGTAATTGGAGAGTTCTTCGTCTTTTTCTTTGAGCAATTCCTCCAACTTGTTGACTTTCTCCTGCAACGCCGACGCCTGCGACTGCGTCTCCGCCAAAAGCTTCCGCTCGCCCTCACCTAGGGTTGTCGTCGTCCCTCTCCTGCTTTGCAAGACTCCGTCCAGAGCGAAAGCATCGCTCCTTGCGTCATAATCATCTTCCGTACCAGTCGCATCATCATCGTCCTCCACCATGATACTCTTGTTTGGAACAATGGTGTTGCTTTGGAATGACTTGGCTTGCGGCCCGACGTCACCGTTCACCGACGACGGCCCACCCAAGGACCCTTGGCGAGGAGGGAACCCACCCATTGGACTACCCGGAGGACCACCGGAGGGATAGCCCCTTCCCATGCGGTTTGGGGGACCTCGAGACTGAGAGCGCCGACTGCCGGGGGGTGGAGGATAACCGTTAGGACCGTAACCATTTGGCGGGTAACCATTTGACGGCCGTCCACGCAAGCTGGGGGCGGGGCTAGCTCGGCGAGATTCCCGTGCCGGAAACTGAGGGAAGCGCCGTTCTAGTTCGCAGAAGACGTCCGTAGCCAGGTCTCTAAACCTCTGGTGTTGAAGGGACGCGAGCTTCTGGCGTGCTTGATTGCGCTTCTCATGGAAATCTTCTCGAGGAGGCAGGAACGGCGGCACATCGGGCCGCGGAGGACCAGGCCGCCCGGGAGAAGGCATGGCCTGCTGCCGGCGGAGGAGTTCATCGTAAACATCAGTACTGAGCTCCTGAAACTGAGTAGCCGAAAGTCTGAGCAGCTTGTCTCGGGCTTTGTTCGTTTTACTGTTCGCTCTGTCATCCCGGTGAGATGCATTAAGGAATCGTCTCAGGGCAAGGTAGTGTTGACCAAGAACTTCCTCCATCTGCTTTTGTCGCTTGCTGCGATCCTCCGCCAAAGTTCCACTGCTAGACCGGGCCGCGACTGAGCTCGGGGGCGACGGGTTGCCTGCGTCGCTCACGCCATTTGTAGACCCGTTCGGCGCACCCGCATTATTCGGACCCAGCCCGCTGGGTGTGCCTGATGTTGGAGGAGTTGCGAGGTTATTGCGAGTTGAGAAAGTGGGCGAGAATGGGGGTTCGGATTTCTGGTACTGATTGATCCCTGACCAATCACTCCCATCTACGGAGACAGGCGACATGGTGCCTGGGTTGGTGTTCATAGGGGGCCGAGTAGGAGAAGGTCACGTCGTTCTGTAGCCGCCGCTGCTTAGCTCAAGGCGCCCAATCGGTTGAAGCTTCACACTCGAGACGAAGAGCAGATTGTGATCATGAAATTGGGGTCTCTACTGATGATTGTAACGAGGAAGGCCATCGACAAGGGGTTACTTGAATTAACTCGGCAGGGGTAGACGTCAGAGAATGCGAGATCGCGGTGATCAGTAGGGGATGCCGGCGGCTGATCGGAATGTAAATGGCAGGAAGGAATGTGATGAAAAAAAAAGGAGCGAACGAAGCGCCAATGAGCAAAGAAATGAGGTACAGAAACTCTTCCGCAGAGAAAAAGGGACCGTCCTTCCAGCACCACGATGACCAAAAGAGAAAGAAGACGGAGGAGAAGAAAGAGCAGAGAAAGAAAATCAATGATAAGTTGAGAACAGTGACAGGAGGCAAGTGGGAGCAACAGCCACAGAAGAAAATCAAGCGTTTCCCGACTCCCGAAGACTAAAGGTAGAAGAAGTGGAGGCCAGATGGAGACTGGGGGAGGACTCACTCTGTAGAGTCAGTACGATTACGAACAGAGGAAATCAAGAAATCCATCAGGTACCTACCTTAGGTACACACAGTGGCCAGAAACCATGGAATTACGATTACAACCCGTGGAAAAGGGGACATTTCTGCTCCATCTAGAGGTACCAAGCATTTTGTTCCAGGTCAACAGTCAGTGGGACTTCAGGTACCATGCCTATTTTTGTTCTGGATCTAGGTACATAGATAAACTAGAATTCTCAGTCTTTCTTATATTATCAGTTGATTTAACCAGCACCGAAGCATTCAGAAACTCAACATGCATCATCCCAGAATCATTTCTACCTTCCATAGGTAAATACTGAAATATTACGCAAGAATTGCTCCGTACGACAGATTGAGTCCCCACCGCCCAGGAACCGATCAAAGGCTATCCGTCTAGTCCGTACGTGAGGCGGTGCTAATCACTGCGAACCGCAAAGTGCTAAACCACTACCTGCTTCCTAACCCAAGAATAGGGGGGTCAATAACTCAGAAGAAGCAGTGAAGTCGAGCTTAACGGGTCAGCATTTGCTTAGTCTCAACACCATGCTCTGACGCGGCATGCCAGCTATTGACATTCCCATAGAAGCAGAGTAAACTGGTCAATAAGCAGCGGATTCTCAGCCACAACGAGGTACCGCCAAAATTTCACCAAAAGGTGAAAATTACATACGGACATGCAGTCACCTTATCTAGTTAGCTAGGCCAGGTATCCCATTGCTCAGCCGTTCGATGCCGCGGAACTGGGTTCAGTTTGGTGTGCACATGCTCAAGATTGAGTAGCAATGTGTTCTTCACTGTATCCTCTAGCCGATATTATTACCATTCTGCCCGAGATGAAGCAAAAGCGGGTACGTAGATAGGTTTATGGGGACTTTGGGAAGTGAAATATGGGCCTTGAGCTTTGGCAATCTTTGAGTCCAGACCGGTCGCTGAGCGATCGCTCCGTTACGCGGTCTTCGTACCTAAGTAATGATAAGGTACCTTACCTTAACTGTATGGAAATTGTAATTTCGGTAACTACCTACATATTATCATCTCAACACTTCAATCAATGAATGATATGCCCAGCCAGGACTTGCCCATACGCATCAAAAAGTGAGAGATTAAGGGTGCTTATATTCTAGACACACTTCATCCTATACAAGATCACACTTAATCGTTCATTCATTCCAATTACTACAATGATCAGTCCTCAGTAGTTCTATACAGTTCTATCATGTCCAAGTTCCACCATCCCGGATATAGCATACTTCCATACTTCATGTTTCGCCATGAACAGGAATCATGGATAGCACTCCTTCAAGAAATATCATGGTATCATAGGAAATGTACGCCATGACCGAAAGCATCCCAATAGTCAAGAGCCTTCCTTGGCTCTTGGCCATACGCCGCCGGCTGCCTGGATTAAAGGCCATGTCATGTGCCTTCCGGACGGCCAGCGAAGATCTGAGCCATGATGAGCTCGCCATTTAGCTGGAGTTGTTAAAGGCTCGGCTACATTTCTCTCTTGGGGCAGAGTGGAAATGTGCGCGAACTCTCGAATAGTCATCGTTAGTTACTCCGACTTCATTTCGAGGAAGACATCGTCAATCCCCGAGCAGCACTCACGGCTGCCGAGACAGGGGTGGATGACCGCGTCGTGGCAGCACTGCGGTTGTGCGCCATGTGCGCTTTGACAAGGTGGCCGGCGGCAAGGGCGGAGCACAGGCTCAGCTCTCCCGCAAGAACAGCGGCAGCGACAATTCGAGCAAGTTGCCGAGCATTGTCACCTGGGTTGGTGGGGTGGGAACCACGGACACCGAGCAAATCAAGCATGGCAGACTGCCCTTCAAGAATAGTGCCACCACCAATTGTGCCAACTTCGATGGAAGGCATAGACACAGCGATCTGGAGGTTGCCATTGAGGCTGGAAAGTTGACCAGTTAGCACTCGAGCGACGAAACAAATCGAAAGGATTTACAACTTACTTTCTCATGGTCGTGATACAGCTGCTGCTCTCGACATTCTGCGCAGGATCCTGACCTGTCGCCAAGAAGATAGCAGTCACAATGTTCGATGCGTGAGCGTTGAACCCACCCACGCTTCCAGCCATAGCACTTCCAATCAAGTTCTTACTGGTATTGAGCTCGACCAAGGCATTGACATCGCTCTTGAGCACACTTCGGACAACATCACCTGGGATGATAGCCTCCGCCACCACGGACTTGCCACGACCGTCAATCCAGTTAATAGCAGCAGCCTTTTTGTCTGTACAGAAATTACCAGAAACGGAAATGGTAGCCATGTCGTCAAAGCCGCATTCAGTCGCCATAACGTGGAGTGCCTTTTCGACACCCTTGGAGATCATGTTCATTCCCATGGCGTCACCTGTCGTAGTCTTGAACCGGATGTAAAGATAAGTGCCGGCGAGAGCCGTCTTAAGATGCTGAAGGCGGGCGAACCGACTAGTAGAGTTGAATGCCGCAGTCAAAATGCTTCGGCCCTCTTCCGAATCAATCCAGACCTTAGCAGCCGCGGCGCGTGCCAGAGTAGGGAAACCGACACAAGGACCACGAGTCATGCCATCGCCGGTCAGAACAGTGACCGCGCCACCACCTGCGTTGATCGCCTTGGCGCCTCGACTTGTGCTGGCCACCAGCACACCTTCCGTAGTAGCCATGGGAATAAAGTAGCTTTGGCCATCAATGTTCAAAGGACCAGCCACTCCCAAAGGCAGAGGTAAATATCCAATAACATTCTCACAGCAGGCACCGTGCACAAGCGTATAGTTGTAATCCTTGTATGGAAGCTTCGAGGATTCCAAAGAGCTCGTGATGGCGGAAGTGGCAGGAGTTCGAGCAATTACAGCACGACGGATCTTGACGGCTCTAGTGAACGCATCCACACGGCTCATGAGGTCCTCGTTTTCCATGGTCTTTTCCAGCGCATAGCCAGGAATCTTGCCTCGCAGGGAAAGCTCAATCAACTCTTCGTCACTCAGGTAAGCAGCTCGCTTCTCCTTCAACAACGCCTCGCATTCTTCTGAATTTCTCTTGGGCGTGTCGGGGTTCAGATCGACCTTAGGGTATTCCTTCTTTGCTTCCACCACAGCCACCCTGGGGGCGGCAGGGGCAGCTTCAGGTTCCTTAATGCTCCAGCGAGCGGCATTGAACAAGTAGCCGTTCAAGATAATGCTCAGGGTCAAAGCAGCGATGATCCACTTGCTGATGATGGGATCTTCGACACTCTTGAGGAGGCTCTCGATGACACGCCCGCCGACAGCATCGAGGAACTGATCGGTGTACTCGATGTCGAATGTGCGGCTTTCGCCCGAGGCGGCGTAGTGTACAGAAGGGTATTCAAGCTTGTACTTGATTGGAGGGATGACTGTCACAACCGTCTCCATCATCTGACTCTTCGCAGAAACATAAATCGAGTCAAGCCCATTTTCGGCGACCTTGAAAGGGTCAATGGGCATAGGCGCAAAGACATTAGAGACGCGGGACAGCAGGGGTATGCCAGCACCCTGGCTTGAGTTCCGGAATGGGATAGTGGATAGATTCACCACATTGACCAAGACAAAACCCCCAACCATCAAAATCTTGAATCTGCGAACACTGCTGGATCTGAGCTTCCTCCCAAAAATGCTAGTATTGTTGTTGCTCTCGGATCCGGCCAGAGGCCAGTCATTACTGGAGGCGACATTCTCGGCCACCCGATGGGTGATACCATCTTCTTCCAGAGCTTTGCGAAGGGTAATATGGCGCTTGATCCGGTTGATTTCAAGTTTGATGCAGAGGATGGTGGTGTAGAAAGTGAAGAGCAGAACGCAGTCGAAAAACAAGATCCACGCCGCAAGGAAACAGAACTGTCGCAACCCACCCTGGACTCCGGAAGCAGCCCCAGCAATAAGAATGGCGATCTCGATGCAGTAATCGCGGATAATCTCAAAACCTTGTTCCTTGATCGCAGTCTGAATAGAGTCCTGAATGGACTTCGTGGTGCTTGATGAAGTTTGACCGGCTCTGGCTCCCTGGCGCCTATTGTCCGCCGCCGCAGTGAGAACAGCCCTGGTGAGAATGATCGGCTTCTCGAAACCGATAGTGACAACAAGGAATGGAAGGCCCTCGGACAGCAAAAGAACATTGATCGAGACGCCAAGCTTCGTTGTGACCAGAAGACCAAACAAAAACGCGAAAACGCCCGAGAAGAGGACAGTGGCGGCCAACCAGAAGTTAGAGCCGAGACGCCGCATCGAGAAGAAGAGGGACACGAAGCTAAGGTGCATGGAAAGGTATCCCAAAGTCATGATGACAATATCAATAGTTTCGGCGTGCTTGGTACGTTAGCAAAAATGGCAGCACCACCGAGGTAAGGCAGATCATTTACCTTGATCAAATCCACAAATGAACCCCAAGCATCTGTCAAC